CAGGATTGAGCCTGGCTGAGAACTACTATAGTTGGACAATGGGCCCAAGGGGTCCTATGATGTCCATTTTTATATGTATTCTAATTTTTCTCTAACAAAATATTTTAAAAACATTTTAAAACTTGCATTTAAATTATCTACAAGGTTACAATCAGGAAAGATGAAAAATTTCTATCTAGATGCATTAAAATAAAATTTACAACATCAAGGACAAGACAATTCTAAAAACTTCCAGAGAGAAAGTGCAAATCACCTTCTAGGATCAAGAATAGTCTAATAACACTCAGTAGCAGCACTGTGTGCAAGATGGTGCATGGTACTGGGAGAAGAAGTGTTGGACCTAGAATTTTATCCAAATTGTTATTATTTATACCAAATTATCATTTAAACATGAGGGTTTACAAAACTATTCTCAGACATACATAGTTCAAAAGCATTGCTACGTGAGGACTCATGGGAGAAGGTGCTCATAAAATAAATAAGTAAAAGGATTATCAGAGCCAGTCCTGTGGCCTAGTGGTTAAAAGAAGCCAGATCCTATGGCATGGTGGCACCCACCCTGTGGCAGAAACTACTGGAGGCTGGAGGACTGTGGCATCAAGTCCATCTCTGTCTCTCTCAACGTGTATGATATTTTAGGCTCAGGCAGGTGGCACTGTAGTTAAGGGTGTTGGACTCCCAAATGGCTGACCATGGTACAATTCCCTGACTTTGCGGCTTGCTTTCTCACTTTCCTTCTCTCTTTCTTGCTCTGTCCATTTCTGGGCAAATTAAAACTAAATAAATAAGTAAATAAAGTTAAATAAAATTAATTAAAACCAAAAAAAAAAAAAAAAAAACAAAAAAAAGGGAAGAAGAAGCTGGATCCCTCATGGCTGACTGCAGCTCCAGTTCTAGCCCTGGCAGCTTGAAAAGCATACCAGGTTCAGGACCAGCAGATGGCGTAATGGTTATATCGCTGGACTCCCATGTAGTCAACTGTGATTCAAGTTCCATACCAAGTGGTTTAAAACTCATGCAAGGTGCATGCGTGTGTGTGTGTGTGTGTGTGTCTGTGCCCAAAACTTAGAGAGGAAAATAGAGGAGAAGGGATTACAGCATGGCCATCTCCCTTAGGGGATGATTTCTCACTTTCTGTCTCTCTTTGGCGAGCACACATGCCCTATAGCAAAAACTTAAATAAAAAAAAAAAAAAGAAAGAAAGAAAGAGAGAGAAAAGAAAAGCAAAACACACCCAGTGCATGCATGTCTGACATCCCAACCGGATGGAGAAATGAAGATAGGACTGAAGCATGACCATGTCCCATTAGGGAGTACTTTCTCCCGCTCCCTCTGAGTCTGTGTGTGTTTCTCTCTCTGTCTTTGGTGAGCATACATAACCTCTGGCAAAAGAAAAATGATGAGAAATGAACCCAGGAAACCCCTGTAGCAAATATAGTAATATTTTATCATATACTTTATACTTTATTGCTGTTTCAAAAATAAAGAAATACACAAGTATAGATTCACAACCCAGAACTAAAAATCTAGAAAACATCAAAATGATTGGGGCATAAACTAACAAACACAAAACCCATAGACACCAAGCACAAGAACAAGGAAATCACACCAGGAACTTCACAGTCAAACCATCAACACTAGCATTTCTCAGTCAGCTCATGCTGCCACAATGAAATGCCACAGGCTGGATGCTTAAGCAACAGACACTTATCTCCTCATGGTCCTGGAAGTCTGAAGTCCTAGATCAAGGTGCCAGCACACCTGGTTTCTTTTTTAAAGAATTATTTTATTTGACTTTATTCATTTATTTTTAAAATTTGACCAGAGAGGGACAGAGTGAGAGATAAAGGGAACGTGAGAAAATAAGCCACCAGGTTTGGGACTTGACTGTGCTGGCCATGTGGGAGTCCAGTGCCCTTAATCACCATGCCACCTGCTGGCCCCAAAAGTTGGATTCTTGTAAGGCCTCTCTCCCTGGCTGCAGACAGCTAGCTGCTTTCTCCCCTACCTGACGAATGCTCGCAGGTGTCTCTTTTGTAAGGACACTAGTCTTATCATGTAAGCTGTACTCTCATGACCTCATCTAAACCTAATTATCTCTCTATACTATCCTATTCCCTACTGTAAGTTAGAGCTTCAGTATATGATTGGGGGGGGCATGGAGCACAATTCAGTTCATGACATGGTGATTAAGATAAATACCTTAAAACTGCCAAGTAACACAGATAAGGAACAAATCTGAAAGACAAACACTACTGATTTCAACACTCAGTATTAAGCTACAATCATTAAGAAAATATACTTTGGCTTAAAGACAGATAAATAGATCAACAGAACATAACAGAAAGTCCAGAAATAGATGCACACATATGTGTGCAACTGCTTTCAGATAAAAGTGCAAGAGAATTAATTCACCAGAGAAAACACAGCTTTTTTTTTAACAAATGGTGTAAGATCAATCGGGTAGTTATCAATATATGCAAAAAAAAAAAAAAAAAGAAAACACTTTGATTTATAGCCTGTATTTCCACTAAAATTAACTAAAAAATGGATCACAGACGTAGGGGTAAAACCTAAAACTATAATGCTTTTTCAATAAAACACAAGGGGCTGGCAGGTGACATGGTATTTAAGCCACTGGACTCCTACATGGCCGACCAAGGTTTGAGTCCTGGACCTGGTTGCTAGTTTTCTCATTCTCCCCATCTCCTTCTCTCTGTCTCACTCTTGTCAAATTGAAGACTAACAATAAATAAATTAAATTAAAACAAATAAACAAAACAAACACAAGAGGGAATTTTTGTGACCTTGAGTTAGACAAAGATTTCTTAAATACAAGAACAAAAGGGAACCAGCAATTAGCATAATGGCTATGTTGCTGGACTCCCATGTAGTCGACTGTGGTTCGTGTCCCGGACCCGGTGGCTTAAAACTCACGCCGGGTGAGTGTGCGTGCGTGCCCAAGATCCCGAGAGGAGAATGGAGAAGAGATTGCGGCGTGACCATCCCCTCTGGGGGGTGATTTCTCGCTTTCTGTCTCTCTGTCTGTCTGGCGAGCACACGCGCCCTATAGCGAAAACCTCTCAAAAAAAAAAAAAGCAAAAGAAAAAAATAGAAAAAAAAAGAACAAAAGCACTATTCATTTTTTTAAAAAAGTTAACTTAGACATGTCAAAGTTTAAAACTGCATTTCAAAAGACAGTTTAAGGGAATGCAAAGACAAACCATAGGCTGAGAGAAAACACTGGCACATTTACACTCAAGGACTTGTATTCAGAGGATGAAGAATTAGAGCCTAGTATGAAGCTCACAAGAGCAGTTAACTAACCTTACAGGGTGGATGGAAGGGGAAATGGAGATGAAGGAGAAAAGAAGGGAGCGAAGGAGGAAGGAACCCTTTTCCATGGTCTGGTTCCTAGAGAGGACATACATGCATGCATATATTTGCCTCCAGGATGGAGAAAACAGTGCTTGGTGAATTGCTGAGGTGGTTACCTCAGGATTCAGGATTTAAAAATCACCTTTGTCCTTCCACTTGGTATAATGTTTTGTACATATTTAACACAAAGCATGTATTTATTTATATAATCAGAAAACAAATACTTTCAGTGTGATAAAGATTTTAATAAATGTGTATCAGTTGGTAAGAAAATTATCTAGTCAAATATTTCTTCATATTCCATGTTGGAAAAACATTTAAAATCTTAATATTCTCTTCAGGTATTTTGTTTGCTTGTTTTTCTTCATTCATGATATAGCATGTGCATGCCCACGAGAAAGAGAAAGAGAAGAGCACTTTTCATAGGATCTGGTCATGCCACAATCTCATTCCTCCAGTTCCAGCCTAGCCTGTTCGACCTTAGGTACTGACGTACATGCCTGGTGTGTTTCAGGCTCACCAGGCCAAGGATTTGAACCTTGGTCACCATGTGGGATCCAGCTTCTCCTGAGCAGCACATTATTGTTATTGTCACAAAGCTGGCCCATCTTTTTAGATATTCTTAAAATGACCATTTCTTTACCCCTATTGAAAGTTTTTCTGAAAAAAAGTTTATCAAAGAGTTTAAATGTAAAGGAAATATATTTCACAATATAAATATATATAATGGTGAAAATGATGTTAAACAGATAGAGAACTTGAAGGTTTTTAATATAACCTTATTTATTTACTGTTATAATCTGTAAGTAAAAACATGAATTTTGGGAGGCCAGCAGGTGGCATGGTAGTTAAGGTGCTGTATTCCTACAAGGCCAACTATGGTTTGAGTCCTGGACCTGGTGGCTTGAAAATCATGCTGGGTATATGCAGGCGTGTCCAAAATCCTGAGAGGAGAATGGAAGGGAAAGGACTGAGGTATGGCCATTCCGCACTGAGGTATGGCCATTCCGCACTGAGGGGTGATTTCTCACTTTCCCTCCTCTCTCCCTCTTTCTCTCTCTGGCAAGTGTATGTGCCGTATAGCAAAACCTAAAAAATAACCAACTAAACATAACTACCTTCAGGTTCTGTGTAAAAGGACTACATAAAACATAAATGAATTGTGGGTGTAGACTTGGGTCCTACTCCCAAGATTTCTCATTTTTGCATATGTAAATATTCTAAAATCCAAAAGAAAACCAAAATCCAAAGTAGTTCTGGTCCCAAGCATTTCTGCTGTAACCTGTAACCTTTTACTCAACCTGTAATACCAACCCTAAAGCTCTAGGTGGAAAAATGGACAAAAATGCTTAAGGAAATCATTCTAGCACAGGTGGTAGAAAATTTTTTTAGTTTTATAAGCATCTGGTAAGAGAATAGCATTCAAGCTGCATAATATATTAAAACACACCATTCTGTGAAGGTTACATTTTTTTTTCTTGAAAAATGTAAATTGTAACTCAAGGGAAAATAATTTCTTAAGCAGACATTTTGGCAAAGAAAATAACTGAAAGCCTTAGCAGTTAAGAGTCCCAGAGCTCCAGGCCTGCCTGCCCTCCTCACTGCCAGGGCCATGACCTGACCTGACCGGAAGCGCTCATCCCGCGAGTTGGTGGGCCGAGACTTCTGCTGTTTGGGTGCAGCGGCTGTGGTTTGTGAGGGCCCCGGGATTCGACTCTCTGCTTGCAGAGACGGGTCTATTCCTGAAACAGAATTTTATGGGAATACCTTATGTATATAATTTGCTATTCCAGTTGTGAAAAAAATACATTAAAAATCATGCCTGTCTCACACGTTGCTACACAGCATACACTATTGTACTAAGCCTGTTGTTGGGCTGGAAGCACAGGAGAGCTTCAGTCTGGGAGTTGGTAGTGGACGTGCAAATGCTATGGGACCAGGTTAATTCCTATGCCCATGCTCTCCCCTCCCCACCCACCCAGCCCTGCTCTGCCCTGCCTCTGCCCTGCTCTCGTATACCATCGTCAGAAGCATCACAACCATGGCAGCTCAAGCCAGGTGTACAAGCCCTGTGTCGCTCGGACGGCAGACTATGGAAAGCCCTTTAAGAATTCTTTTCTGCATTGTGAATGCTTCCTGAATCTGACATGGTCTGTGTCAACTGATCCTAGCACTGTCCAGAGTTGGGAAACAGTCACCAACTGGTCACTGGGTGCTATCAGAAGCCCTTAGATACAAAGACAAAGAAGGGAGGAAAGTGCAGCAAAGAACAGTCAGAGGGAGCCCTGACAAGGCGGTCAGAGAGCAACAGGCTCAGAGACAACCTCAGCTGCGCCACCTGCTGGCTATCCCAGGTCTGAGTCCAGCTTCGGCAAGAGCCTACTTCCCTCGACCTGCATCACCAGGTTCTGTCAGAGCATTGGTCCCCTGACCACAGATGTCCTTAGAACACAACATGGTGAAGAAGGAATACCGAAGTATGCAGTCACTGTCTCAGTCCTGGCTTATTGACATTTATGAACGACACAGCAAACACCTCAGTTGTACTCAACAAAAATAATATGTTTAACTGTAGCCTTGTTTCAAAACATCTCATAAAATTGGCCAGCAGTGGTTCCAGTCCCACTGGCTCTCTCAGCCCTGACCATACCTTGAAGAGAGGTAGAGTCCTCTCTGCCTCAAATCCAGGCAGGCTGGTGACCACCCCTATGGGCACAGGGCCCAAACTGCAGACTTATGAGCAGAACTGAAGGTGTTGATGTCCTCTAAGTAACATGTACTTTTCAGGGCAGTTACTCATGCAGCACTAGACAGCAATCAATGCCTAGCTAGTCACAATTTCGGCATACATACATACAAACAATTGCAATCCCGTTTCTGGATATTTGGGCTTATGACTGGGTAAAGCTACTCTAAAGTTCGTAATAGAGAATACCTAGAGTCATATCCACTAAGGATTACAGCACACATGCTACAAGGTGATGCACAGGCACAGGGGTATCTTGTATTTTAAAGCATGGGCGCTTTTATTCTTTGAGATTTATTCATTCAATAAAGATTAAAAAAAAAACCTAACATGAAATTATTGGATGAAAGAGTAGGTATATTTTTAATTTTAGCAGATATCAAGACATGACTTTCCCAAAAGGTCACAGCGATTCACACTCCTACCAGCAATGTATGAAAGTGCTATTTCCTCACATCTTTGTCAGAAATGGATGGTATAAAAAGCTTTAGAATTTTGCCAAGCTGGAAAGAGAAAAAATGGTTCACTTTAATTTGCATTTAGTGTTTCTTACCCATCCACAATTCCTCTTCTCTGAATTTCTATTCACTTTACCCAGAAAACGAGCCCTCTCTCCCGCAAAATAAGAAACAAGCCTCATTGTCCTGAGGGCGCAGTGCAGACTGAGCCTGCACCACGGAGAAGGGGCCAGCCAGTGTGGCTCAGCCACTCTGCAACGTTCTTCCTACTAGGAACCAACCAGCCCTGTCCATCTTTTCCTTCCTGGCTTCCACATGTCCTAGCTGGCTTATGAAGAAAACTCCCACCCAAAGGATACTCAAATATTCTCCTGAATTTTGTAATTTCTATAATTAAGAACAAATTTAGGGCTTTAACCCTTCTAAAGTACATGTTCACTCATAGTGGAAAGGATGGGGGTTCTTGCTTCCCGCAGGGCAGCACCAGCGTAAAGTGAGCCCTTCCTCCTTGCACTCTCTCAGGTCATCCTGCGACCTCCACCACTCACTCTGTACTCTAAGGCCCTTCTGTTGTCTCTGTGACACATGCAGTTGGGGGTAGCTTCTCCAAGCCAGCCTTTCCTCACCAACATTCATTTTCAAAAATCAACTGATGAAGCCAGTAGGTGGCAAGGTGGTGAAGGTGCAGGATTCCCACATGGCCAACAGCAGTTTGTGCCCCAGACCTGGAAGCTCAAGAATTGCACTGGGCACATGTGTACATGCCCAAAATCCCAGGAAGAGAAAGGCCTGTGGCATGGCTATTCCTTCAGGGGATGACTTCTCATTTTCTCTGTCATTGTCTTTCTTTCTCGCTGGTGAGTGCAAATGCCCTATGGCAAAAGCTTAGGGGAAAAAAAATCAACTGGCTTCTCCCAGAACTTTTCTTCTTATAATGAATTCCAATTCCAGGGTTAGGAAAATTCAGCCACTGGTATTTAGACTAGACTATATAAGGTTCACCCATTGATTTGGAAACTGCCAATTTTCCATATTAAGTTTTTACATTTGGTATGTTTCTTCATGTATTAGGGCCTTAGTTATCTCTCTGAAATAGATATTACAATACTATGTCTTTCTTGCTAAATGTATTAATAAACATTTGACAGTTTGTGTTCATTATGAATGAAAATTTTTCATAACAGAAATATTGCTAGAGAAAAGCCTTTGATTCTTATGTTTGTTTCTACCCATATGTCTGCCAAACCAAACCTACTAATTCTAATCATTTAAAAGGCAGGCATTGGGATCAGCAGATGGCATAATGGTTAGCTTGCTGGACTCCCACATAGTTGACTGTGGTTCGAGTCCCATACCAGGTAGCTTACATTCACGCCGGGTGTGTGCGTCTAAAATCCCGAGAGCAGAATGGAGAAGGGATTGTGGCATGGCCCTCTCCTCTGAGGAGTGATTTCTTGCTTTCTGTCTCTCTTTCTATCTCTGTTTCTCCAGTGAGTGCATGTGCTCTACAGCAAAAATCTCTCTCTAAAAATAAATAAATGAATAAAAGGCAAGACATGCAGGTATTCAAGTTATAGGTATTCAAGTTATAAAGTTATACCACCTCTAAATAAAGTTGAGCGTTTCATTTCTCCAATACTTATGCTGCTTCCTTTCCAGACTTGGCTGCATTGCCACTGCCATGGCCACCAGAATGACATGCTTAGAGTGGACTCAGCGTATCCCTCTTTGCCCCTGTTCCATCACTAGTGGGTGAGGCCATTTGTTTGCTTGTTGACTATTAAGGTTTCTTACGAAATACTATCAAGTCTTTGCCCATTTTTCTACAGGGCTTTTTCTTATCATATTGGGATACTTTTAGGCAGTTTAAGTTTAATTAAAATTAAATAAAAAATTCATTCTTTCATTCTCACTAACCAAATTACAAGTGCTTACTTGGCCAGAGGTTAATACACTGGATAATACAACTGGGGAACATGTCTGTTACAGCCAAAACTCTACAGAGCAGTGCTGCTCTGCTCATCCTGGAGACTACTACTTCTCTGGTTATCTGTGTTACAGCTATCTTTATACACTGTGCAGTTTGTCTTTCCAAATTCTCTATGAAGACTTTTGATAAAAGAAGTTCCTTATTTTAATGTAGTTCAATTTATCAATAATTTATTTTATAGTTGCTGCTTTTTGGTATATCTACTGACTTAAATTATTCCTATCTGAGAAAGTAAAGTGACAATTTCCTAAAGCCTCTATGTTTTCCACCTTTTTAGTGCTAATACACCTGGAACTAACTTCTGCATCCAGTGTCACATATTCTACACCTAATGACAAAGAACTGTGCTGCACTGTAGCTGTGATGTCACTTTTCCGTACACCACGTCCACATGAGTGTGCGTCTGTGTCTGGGCTGGTGGTCTGGCCCACTGGTTATACGTCCATCTGACACCAAATTACCACATCAGTGATGACTACTTCATGATTATCTTCATGTGTGGGTCACGTACATCCTCACACTGTGTTCTTTTTCAAGCATATTTTGGATCCCTTGATCTGTATATATTTATACACTTGGACACAAATTTTAGAATTAGCTTAAGTTACACACACACACACACACACACACACCCCAATCTGTTGAAACAATGAGTGTGCTGAATCTAGCAAGGGAAGAACTTACATTCTCATATTTGCTCTTGCTCTAGAAAGGAAATGTGCCAGGCTGTTCCATAATCATAGAAATAAAATAGATCCTACTTAGGAATGAGATCTGTCCCAAACCAGGGCTGAACATTATAATCCATGCCTTTGGATTTTATTATTTAATATTAAAGATTCTTTTTCCAGGCCTTAATAATAAACTATGACACATATAGTAATATTTAAGCTTGGTTTAACATTTTTTAGTCAATGTTCAATGCTAAAATTGACTTTTAAAGCAAGATTTATGGGACAACATAATTGTCATGGACTGCTGGGTGTACTGGCTTTACCTTGAATGAGTGGTACGTAACGTGCAAGCAGCTTTGCTCTTTTTTTTTCATATCCTTTCTGAGTGATGTCACCTGCAACAAGAACGGAAAAAGACAATTATGTATATATACATATATATGTTTTTTTTTTTTTTGGAGAGATTTTTGCTATAGGGCGTGTGCGCTCGCCAGACAGAGAGAGACATAGAGACAGAAAACAAGAAAACACCCCCCAGGGGGGATGGTCACACCACAATCCCTTCTCCTCCATTTTCCTCTTGGGATCTTGGGCACGCACACACACGCACCCAGCGTGAGTTTTAAGTCACCGGGTCTGGGACGCGAACCGCGGTCGACTACGTGGCAGTCCAGCGACATAGCTATTACGTTAATTGCTGGTTCCCAAAGACAATTATATTCTTCAAAAGTTTCAAGATGTTTAAATTAAGAATTCCTAGGGGCCGGCACGTTGCACTGGATTCCAATATGGCCAAGTGTGATTTGAGTCCTGGACCTGATGGCTTGCTTTCTCTGTGGGTGTCTCTCTCTAGTCTAATTATATAATAATAATTATTATTATAAATAAAATTAAATAAATAATTTTTTTTGAGAGGTTTTTTTTTTTTTTTTCTCTAAAGGGGGCGG